CTCCAGTTCAGGTGCAACCCGTCCTTCTTGTACAGGTCCGACCTTCCCCAGAAGGTATCCCAATGATCCACAAACCTGAAGCCCTCCCTCCTACACCAGCTCTGTAGCTACGTGTTCAGCTGCACTTGCTCTCTATTCCTAGCCTCACTAGCCCGTGGCACCGGTAGTAATCCTGAGATTACTACTCTGCTTGTCCTGCCTTTTAGTTTCCAACCTAACTCCCTATATTCACTTTTCAGGTCCTCATCCCTTTTCCTAGTTATGTCATTCAAACTGATGTGTACCACAACTTCTGGCTGCTCTCCCTCCCCCTTAAGAATCTTGAAGACGTGATCCGAGACATCCCTGACCCTAGCACCCGGGAGACAACATAGCATCCGGGAGTCTCATTCGCGACCACAGAATCTCCTGTCTGTTCCCCTAACTATTGAATCGCCTATCACTATCGCTCTCCTATTCTCCCCCTTCCCTTCCGAGCCACAGAGCATGGCTCAGTGCCAGAGATCTGGCCACTATGGCTTTTCCCTGGTAGGTCATGCCCCCCCAACTGTATCCAAAGTGGTATACTTATTATTGAGGGGAACAGCCACAGGTGATCCCTGCACTGTCTGCCTCTTCCCTTTCCCTCTCCTGACAGTCACCCAGCTACCTTTGTCCTGTAACTTGGGTGTGACTACTTCCCTGTAACTCCTCTCTATCACCCTCTCAGCCTCCCAAATGATCCGGAGTTCATCCAGCGCCAGCTCCAGCACGCGGTCTGTGTGGAGCTGGAATTGGGCGCACTTCTCGCAAGTGAAGTCAGCAGGGACACTAGTGGTGACCCTCGCCTCCCATATCCTAGAAGAGGAGCATGCAACTGCCCTAGCTTCCATCCCCTCTCCTCTAGATTGCCAAAAGAGATAAAGAGAAAGAAAAAAAAGTAGCTCATCTTACTGGCCTTCCACACACTTTTTTTTGGTTAGAGGAGGAGGATAGTGGGAGACACTACACATGTAGTGTTTCAGGTTTAGCCACTGCCCAAATATAATAGCAGTCCCCATGTCTGCGTTTGCTCCTGCTCACCCTTCGCACCGCCTATTCACGAGGCAAGTTTTTTATGTGGAAACCTTACCTTCTTGGCTCCCCCCGGCTCCCATTCTCACTACTCCCGCCACGGAAATTAGAGGCCGCTGTCTCCCTAGGCAAGTTTTTATACAGAAACCTTATTTTCCCGGCTGCCCCCTAGCTCTCACGACTCCCACCGATGAATTAGAGAAGTATTATAAATAATTGTGGCCCCAGCTCTGATCTCTGTGGCACACCACTAGTTATAGGTTGCCAGTGTGAAAATGATCCCACCCTTTTCTCAACTCTGTCTTCCATTCAGTTCAGATGACGAGTGACTGGACTTGAAATGTTAATTTTGCTCTCTTCGCACAGATGTTGCCAGTCCTGCTGAGCTTCTCCAGAAATTTCTTTATTTGGCTCTTACCTTATTAAGTAGCTTAATGTATGGTACCTTATCAAATGCCTTCTGAAAATACAAATATTTTACATCCACTGCTTCCTTTTCAGGTATCCTGCTTGTCACCCCCTCAAAGAATTTTTACAAATTTATCAGACATGACTGCCCCTTCATGAAGCCATGCTGACTCTGCTTGATCATATTCTGCATTTCTAAATGCTCTTTTATTACATCCTTTATAATAGATGCTAACAGTTTCCCAATAACAAACATTAAGCTGTTATAAGGAAAACATGAGGTTCTAATTATGATCCAGGCATGAATGTAGGAGCATAGGAATTAGGAAAAGGAGGAGGCAATTCAGCCCTTTGAACCCGCTGTGCCGTTTAACATGATTATGGCTGATCTTATCCTGGTCTCAACTCTACTTTCCTGTCTGCTCCCTATAGCCCTTTATCCTGCTTTTCATCAGAAACGTATCAATTTCTTTCTTGGATCTGTTGGTTGATTCTGTCTCCTCTGCACTCTGTGGCAGAGAGTTTCACAAATTCACAACCCTCTGAGAGAAGTAGTTTCTCATTTCAGTTTTGAACCTACTCCTCTCACTCTATATCTATGTCCTCTTGTTCCAGACAGTCCCACAAGGAGGAACAACTGTTCAATGCCCACCTTATCATTTCATATATTTCAATCAGATCCCCCAATATTCATTTGCACTCCATATATGGTCTCACCAACGCCTTACATAATTGTAAAAACACTTTACTTTCATAATCCAGTCCTTTACAATAAATGCAAGGTTTCCATTTGCCTTTCTTATTACATGCTACACCTGCATTCCCACTTTCTGTGATTCATGCATGAAGACACCCAGATCCCTCTGCACTGAAGCACTTTGAATCTGCTTCCCATTTAAAGAATAATTTGCTCTTTTATTTTTCCAGACAAAGTGGACAACCTCGCACTTATCCACATTAAACTCCATCTGCCAGATTCTGGGCCATCCTCCTAGTCTATAAATATTCATCTGTAAACTCTTTATTTCCTCATTACTGCCTGCTTTCTCACTATTTTAATATCATCTTCAAACTTTGCTATGTTACACTTTGTCTTTGCTTTCAGATCATTTATATAGATTGTAAATAGTTGAGGTCTGAGAACTGAGTCCTGTGGTACCCCACTAGTTACAGTTCATCATCTAGACAACAACCTATTTATCCTGAATCCCTTTTTTTTAATCAGTCAGCCAATCCTCTATCCAAACCAATATTCTACTTTTAACCCTCTGGGATCTAACCTTCTGGATCAGACTTTTATGCGGCAACTTGTCAAATCTGGAAGTCCAAATGTACCAAATCCACAGATCCCTGTTATCTACCTTGTTGGATACATCCTCAAAGAACTCCAGGAAGTTTGACAAGCATTATTTGCCCTTCATGAAACCGCGTTGATGCTGGTGAATTGAGCTTTGTTTTTCCAAGTGTTCAGTTATCGCCTCCATTATGATTGGCTCCAGCAACTTCTCCCTACAGAGGTCAAACTAACCAGTCTATAGCTTCCCACTCTGCATACCTCCTTTTTGAATAAGGGTGTCACATTTGTATGTTTCCAGTCCACTGGTACCTTTCCAGAATCCGGGAATTATGGAAAATCATATCTAATACATCTACTATCACTGCTTAAAACACTAAGATGCAGGCCATCAGGCCCTGGGGATTTATCTGCCTTTAATCCCATCAGTTTCCTTAATGACCTCCCTAGTTATAGCAATTTCACCAAGTCTCTCTGTAGTAATTGCAGTTTTTGGGAAGAAATTATCGTCTTCCATAGTGAAAACAAAGATAAGGTATTGGTTTAGTGCCTCTGCCATTTCTGAATTTCCCATTATTACCTCAGCATTTTCGTCCTCTAAAGAGCCAACATTTTCTTTCACTTCCTTCTTATATACTTACAGAAGCTTTTGGTATCAGTGCTTATGCTTTCTGCTAGTTTCCCTTCATTGTTCATCTTAGGTCTTTTAATTTCAACTTAGTAACCCTTTACTGATGTTTAAACCTGTCCTAATCCTCCAGAGTGCCACTACCATTTGCAGTATGATATGCTCTAGTTTTTGCTTTTATGTTATCCTTGACTTCTGCATTGAGCCATGGATGATTTTTCATCTTTTTACAATTCCTCTTCCTCTCAGGAATATACTTTAATTGATAGGTATTTAGTTTCTCCCTAAGCATTTGCCACTGTTCTTCAACTCTACTGCCCTTTAATATTTTTGCCAAGTTCACCTGGGCCAACTCCTTCCTCAGCTCCGTATAATTACCTTTGCCTAATGTTAAAATGCTTGTGTGCAACTCTGTCTTCACTGTTTCAATCTGAATGTAAGAGGTTTGCTCTGTAAGTTTGCAGATGACATGTAAATTGGTGATAAGGTAAATATTGAGGAAGAATGCCTCAGAGTACAGGGTGATATAGATGGGTTGGGCAAATGGAATTTATTCTTGAAAAGTGTGAGACAATGTATTTTGAGAGGACAAACAAGGGAAGGGAATACATGATGAATAGAATAGAAAAGAATAGAAATTTATTGTCACTTTAGTTCAGAAAATGAGATGGATGTTGGCGTGCATGTCCATAGATTTTACCCTATTTTCCCAACTGATTTGCTAGTGCCCACTTTATTCAGGGGCTGAAAAGATTACATCCCGAGTTTTGAATTTTGCAAGCACTGGTTGTTTGGGTACAACCTGACATTGTGTTTACGCCAGAAAGACAAGCAGACTGTATTGAACAGCATGTTCCTCAGTGCTCGCAATGAGCAAGGTACTAATGGTATACAACCAGCCCACACTCGCAAACTACAGAACACAGTAAGCTATGATTTTGCAATAGTGCGGCTATGGATGATTCTGAAGACTAATTTAGGTTTGACATGGAGGTGCCGGTGTTGGACTGGGGTGAACAAAGTCAGAAATTACACGACACCAGGTTATAACTTGTTGGACTATAACCTGGTGTCATGTGATATCTAATTTAGGATTGTCATTTAGGCTTGTTGTAGAGTGCACTTGCATGCACTGGAATCAATTTTAACACAGAGTTCCCTACACTTTGCAAACAGGAAGAACATGTACAGCCACCACATCTGTTTCAACTGAACAAAACAGATGGCAGCCATTCTCTGGTCCATCCCTAAAGGCATTGCCTTAAACAATCAGAATCAACCTACCTGGTTTAAATTTAAACATAACCTGGGAGTTAATAGCCAGTCATCATATAATTGGTGCATTCGACATGGCAATGTTTCTATTGATCAGATCTCACTTGTCACCATCAGCACTCTCTTTCATTAAGTATAAAATCTTGTTCCCCCTCACATTTGTATCCTTGAGCATGCCCTGATGAGTACAAGATAAAGCTTTGACAAAATGCGTCTTTTTTCACCATGCTCAAGTTCTGTACAATCAAACAATTACTGTAATATTGTAGGATGCATCTGATACATGGTAAAAAAATAGATGACCTGGATTGCATTTGAATTCCAGGACCTTGAATGACCTACTTGAGGACTCTCTCAAATTCTTGTCGTTCCTTAGTTGCCTGCACAGCCCGGAAATGTTGCTTGTGCCGAATTTGATCTGAGCGAGACTTCTTCAGCATTGCTGTCACCTCTGCTTTCTTGCGCTCGTCCTCTAGTTCCTTCCTGCGCCATTCCCGTTCTGCAGCTTCCTGACTTCTTTTTGCTCGCAGTGCATCCTACAAAAGAGAGAATAAAGGGAAACATTGGCTGAGAAATTCTCTTAGTCCAGTATTTGTTCACGTACTGGTGTCTCACAGTTGTCTCTCAGGGGATACCAGTACACAGACTGGTGTCTAAAACCTCTCTGTCTCTCTCAGACATTTGCATACTGACTGTCTCTAAAGACCATATCATTGAATGTTTTCAAGAAAGAGTTAGATACAGTTCTTGGGACTATAGGGATCAAAAGGTATGGCGCAAAAATGAGTACAGGTTTCTGAGTAGGGTGACCAGCCATGATCGTATTGAATGGCGGAACAGGCTCAAAGGACTGTATAGCATATTCCTGGTCCTATTCTCTATGTTTCTACATAGAACATAGAACAGAGAACAGTACAGCACAGTACAGGCCCTTCGGCTCACGATGTTGTGCCAACCTATTATCCTACTAAGATCAAACTACCCTGCATATCCTACATTATACTAACATCCATGTGCCTATCCAAGAGTCGCTTAAAAGTCTCTAAAGTATCTGACTCCACTACCACTGCCGGCAGCGCATTCCACACGTCCACCTCTCTCTGTATAAAGAACCTACCTCTGACATCTCCCCTATACCTTCCTGCAATCACCCTAAAATTATGCCCACTTGTAATAGTCACGTCCGCCCCGGGAAAATATCTCTGACTATCCACTCTATCTATGCCCCTCATCATCTTGTAAACCTCTATCAAGTCACCTCTCATCCTTCTTTGCTCCAATGAAAAAACCCTAGCTCCCTCAACATTTCATCATAAGACCTGCCCTCCAGTCCAGGCAGCAGCCTGGTAAATCTCCTCTGCACGCTCTCTAAAGCATCCACATCCTTCCTGTAATGAGGCTACCATAACTGAACACAATATTCCAAGTGTGGTCTAACCGGGGTTTTATAGGGCTGCAGCATAACTCGTGGCTCTTAAACTCAATTCCCCTGCCAATGAAAGCTAACACACCATATGCCTTCTTTACAACCCTATCAACTTGGGTAGCAACTTTGACGAATCTATAGACGTGGACCCCAAGATCCCTTTGTTCCTCTACACTGCCAAAAATCCTCCCATTAACCCTGTATTCTGCATTCAAATTCAACCTTCCAAAATGGATCACTTCACACTTTTCTGGGTTGAATTCCATCTGCTACTTCTTTGCCCAGATCTGCATCCTGTCAATGTCCCGTTGCAACCTACAACAGCCCTCCACGCCATCCACAACTCCACCAACTTCTGTGTCATCGGCAAACTTACTAACCCACCCTTCCACTTCCTCATCCAAGTCATTTATAAAGATCACAAAGAGCAGGGGTCCCAGAACAGATCTCTGTGGAACACCACTGGTTACCGAGCTGCAAGCTGAATGAGCCTACCATCGACGACCACACTCTGTCTTCTATTGGACAGCCAGTTTTGTATGTAGACAGCCAAACTTCCTTGAATCCCATGCCTCCTTAATTTCTGAATGAGCCTACCATGGGGATCCTTATCAAATTCATTGTTAAAATCCATCTACACCTCATCCACTGCTCTGCCTCCAACAATGTGTTTTGTCACATCCTCAAAGAATTCAATCAGGCTTGTGAGGCATGACCTGCCCCTCACAAAGCCATGCTGACTATTTCTAATCAAACTGTACTTTTCCAAATAATCATGAATACTATCCCTCAGAATCCTCAGCAATAATGTGCCCACCACAGAAGAAAGACTGACCAGTCTGCAATTCTGAATCCTAAAGCAAAGTATTCATTAAGGACCTCCCCTACCTCTTCCGATTCTGTGCAAAAGTTCCCTCCACTACCCTTGATTGGCCCTACCCTCACTCTGGCCATCCTCTTGTTCCTCACATAAGCATAGAAGCCTTGGGGTTTTCATTCATCCTACCCGCCAAGGTTTTTTCATATCCCGTTCTAGCTCTCCTAAGTCCATTCTTCAGTTCCTTCCTGGCTACCTTGTAACCCTCTAGAGCCCACTCCGATCCTTGCTTCCTCAACCTTAAGTAAGCTTCCTTCTTCCTCTTGATGAGA